AAGTAGAAAATCAGTTAAGCATATTGAAACTTGAATATCTCCATCAAGCAATTGGAATAATTGATATTTGTGGAGTGCTTTACCCCAAAACGATAGAAACAAATTAGTGTGAGTGTACAGGGATCAGTCGTCAAGACAGATCATATTCTTGGCAATAAAACAGGTCTCAATAAATTTTAAAGAATTGAAATCAAAAGGAGTATGTTTTCTTAACAAACCCAATTTAAGTAGATATAAAGAACAAAAAGTTATCTGTTAAATCCTGATATTTGGAAATTAAGCAACATACTTCTAAATAACCAATGGGTCAAAGAAGGAATCACTTGGAAAGTTAAAATATATTTTGAACTGCATAAAAAATGAAAACAAAACACATCAAAATATGTGGGAGGTATCTAAAGTGGTGTTTAAAGGAAAATTTATAGTATTAAACACTTTTATTAGAAAAGAGCAAAGGTTTGAAATCAATGACGTAAGATTCCACCTTAAGAAATCAGTAAAACAAGAGTTAATTAAACTCAAAGTGAGAATAAAATAATTTTTAAAAGTACAAAACCAAATTCTTATACTTAATAAAATTTAGATTACTATTAAAACCAGAGCTATATACAATGGATTACTTAAATGAATAAAATTGAACTACTGAATTATTTATACCACATAAATAAATATATACATATACACATAAATACCCACAGTGTGGTTTCCAATGAAATAAAAAGGAAAATGAGTGATTTTTGTCCGTTTACATTCGCTGTCAACACTGCATTATGACTAAATATCATTTTCTATCTTTCATAGGACAATTATAGAGTTAGTTTTCTAATTTTTCAGATTTTCTAAACTCTTCTCTTAAATAACTTAGAATAAAATCATTATTTTTAAAGCATCCATATATCATCCTTTTTTAAAACATTTTGTCTTTTGATAAAATAACTGTTAACTAGTTTAACGCTAGGAAATCTGTGTAGTTTGAGGAGTTCCCCAATATCACTTTCACTAACTAAATGAAGTCTTTCAATTTTTTAAAGATATACAATTAATCTTTGCAATCACTTGCACTAAATTCAAATTAGTGTGCTGTAAACCAACAATTATCTGGAAATTTATCTACAAAAAATTTTGTTGAGATGGATAGATGCTAAGATGCTAAGACTTAGATGCTAAGCAGAGAACATTGTTGGGGGCAGATGGAACTAGTTCCATTAAATGTTTGATATGTTTGTGCATATTTTACTATTATACCAATACTAGTTTTTCCATGCAGATTTATAAGTGTGGGATCTCATATACTGAGAGTTTATTCACTCCTTAGAGATTATTCACTCCTTGTATTATAGACCCAGAAGGTTTGAATGATGAACCACAGACACTGGAGAAAATGTGAGAGACCAAACCTAAGTATTCCTAGTCTGTATTGTTTATAAAACACCATGAGGCAGCATAATATAGATATGGTCTCAGACATTTCACCCAATCCCAGAGTAGTAATTCTCTGCTCCAAAATACACATAAAGTTAACCCTTTATTTCTCCCTTTGCATAATGCATAAATTCAACTAACTGATGATATGATATACATTTTTATTATAAATAATAGAAAACTGAATTCTGGTTATGTGTAACAATTTTCTGACAGATTGTCAAATACTAAATGGCTTATAAAGTAATATGTAGAATATCTTTTTATGTTTTTGAAAAATTAGTTGTTGACACTTTTAGTATATTACTTTAGTATGCTACAACGTGCATAGTGAATATGATGGATTCTAACAACATCTCACTGTCTCCGAGAGGGACATGGTAAAATAAGATTCTCAATTTTTCTATTTGGGACAATGCTCTGCTGTAAAGCACATTACACTTGACAGTCAGATGATTCAGGTTCATGTCTGAATTCTGACTCATTAACCATAGCTTTAAACAAATCATTATCTTTTGGGGTCCTAGCTTCTTTATTTGCAAAATGATGATGAAAGCGGGGTGACTTCAAAAGCTCTTTCACTTTCTTAAATCATTAATACCTTCATATAATTCACATTCCGAATTTAAAAAGCCACACAAGAAAGAAACCACTCTCCTACGCAAGTGCAAAGTAAATTGAATATAAATTGATTCAGTCTTTCGGTTTTGGTAGGAAAGTAAATGTGCATACTCTTTGATCCAGCAATTCCATTCAAGGATCCTAACCTACTGCAATACTCTTATGAGAGCATGAGAAGGTCTGTGCAAAGATAAATGCTATAGCACTGTTTGTAACTTTAAAGGACTGAAGACAACCTAAATATCCACAAGCAGGGTAGTAATGGTCACATTATTCATATTCTAGAATACTGCTGAGGAAGAATCACATGGAAATTACTCATGAACAGTATATAATGTATCTGAAAAGATTAAATTGAAGAATTATACATTAAAGACTCACTCAATTTTTGTTAAAAAATTAAGTTCTTTATTTTCAATATATGTAGTTTAAATATATACTGATACATTTATGTGTACATATACTTATGTACTTATATAAATGTATATGTACTTAAATATGTATTTATATATGTATATATGTATATATATGTTTATACATCAAAAAATATGTATGCCAAAGAGTGCTTAATCCAATTTAAATTTGTATTCTATATATTTATTAAACTAATACCTAATGGTTTAATCAAAATCCCTTTCTGAAATTAAATTATAGCCCAACATAGATTAAAAATAATTTAAATGCCTTTAATCTTTCTTTTAATCTCTAGCCTTTATATAATTTATGTACATGAGGTTAACCAAAATTTTACATCTAAAATGAAGTCTTCTATTTAAATAGTGCCTTTTTTACAGTTAATGAACTTTAAGGTGTTGCTTCATTCTTTTCCCAATAAGATAACATAAAACTTCTTTAAAAAAATAATGCATTTTAGGTGCCTGCCCAGAGCAAATACACAAAGCGAAAAGTGCTGTACAAAATGTCAACAATAGGTGGTGCACATCTGCTCGTCTTAAATCAGCCTTGCTATTTAAAGAAACTGAACATCTAAAATCTCTCTAAATCATGAACAATATAACAAATGAAAATTCTTAAGAAATAACCAAAGAAACCAATAATCCCAGTTTAATTTCCTGTAAAAGAGCCTCTACTGTTTCGGGGTTTGGTTCCAGAATGGAGCAAAAAAAAAACAAAAACAAAAACAAAAACTATCAGTTTTCAGCACTATTCTATGAAAACTAATAAAAGGATGCTTGTCAGAGGTCAGTTAAATGTAATTAAAGAGGACTGAGCCTGTGGTGCATAGCAAGACCCAGGTGAGTATGACAAGATTATCACATCAAAGGGGGATGATATTGAAGAAAGATGGGAAAGGAATACAACCAAATCTGGGCTGACATTTTTTAATTCTACAGTTCACCTTTAACTAGAGCCCTGAATATTACAAAGGACCTCCGCTTTCTAAATAATGCTTCCCTCTTTAACACAAAACTACTTTTTCAAGAAAAAGGAAATAGAGAAGTGGTTTCAAACATGGCAGCAATATGAATTACATGAGTAGCTACTTTCCCTTCAAAATTTGATTATGGGACTCCACACCATAATTCCTAAAACGAAATTTCTGAAGATGCAACCATGGGCCATGATGAATCAGGGATTCTTTCAATATATCATATTCATCCATGAATTCATTAATAGGGGCTTTTAAAAAAACTCTCCATCTAATAAGCTGCCTCATTCATTTACAATCAAATATGCTTTCCATATTTATCAAAATATATTTTTTAAATTATGAATTAGTCAACTACATACTAAAAATTGTAATAATAATTCAACCCAGAAGAAAAAATAATACTGGAACCTTAGGGTCACAGGAAATTTTTAAAATTAAATTTTCAATTTATATACATTTTTACTGCTTAGAAATATGTTTAGTCTAGCAATGAAAACATTATTAATTCAAATATAAAAATAAAATTTTGCAGGTTAATCAGAATAAAAATACAAGTTCAAGTAGAAAAAAATATATGTATAATTTCCCAAAGGCTAACTAAAGCTCATTTGTGTATTTATAATACATGAGCATGGTATCAAAAAACTATGATATTTAGATTCTGGTAGATATGTTTAAAATGACATTAATTTTAAAATGTCATCTCTGCAATATATTATAACTTATAGCCTTTGCAACTATTAACCTTATGATGAAACTATTTCGATGCCAACTTCTGGTAAAAAGGTACGAAAATCAGATTTCTAAGTGCATATGTTGTTAGAACTGTTTGTAGAGCTCCCTTGTTTGCCAACATGATCACCTCCTGCATGCTGTGGGAATGAATACCCATTCTAATATGGATCTAGGCAAATTTTTTAATTAAGTTTATTGGGGTAACATTTGTTAATATAATTATATAATTTTCAGGTGTACATTATAATTTGACATCTATATATGGTATTGTATGATTACCACCCAGAGTCCAGTTTCCTTCAGCTACCATATATTTGATCCCCTTTACCCGCTTCACTCTATCCCAATCTCCCTAAATTTGACCCTCTTTATCCTGTCTACTTCTTCCTTCCACCCCCATCCCCTACCCTCTGGTAACCACTAGTCCATTGTCCATGTCCCTGAGTCTCTGTTTGTCCTGTTCATTGTTGCTTTTATGTTTATATCTCACATATAAGTGATATCATGTGATTTTCAACTTTTTCAGTCTGGCTTATTTCTCTTAGCATGATTATCTTGGGGTCTATGCAAATTTAAAAGTAGGGAGGACAGCTTAGTTCATAAATAACTTATATACTATTTCTAGGCCAAATTTTAATTATTTGGCATTACAGATACACAAGGTGGTCTCTGACTAGTTTCTTCTTTGATAGTGATAATTGAGTATTTAAGTGACCTTGTAATTTATAAACCCATTACTAATTCACCTTTAAAACTTCATGTAATGACTTGGGAATATTTTAATTTGATCATTGGCCACATGTCAAATTTTCTGAGGAATAGTACATACCCTCTGTTACATTTTGCTATTTCATCAAACAGAAGTTTCCACCGAGGACGTCCAATGAAAAGTCTTGAATTCAGTGCTTGATATTTTTCTCCAATTATATTCTGCAAAAAAAGAAAGCACTACATTTTATATGACACAGAGTTGGCAAATAGCCCACTTGTCTAACATAATTTCTGCTGGTGGTGTGGCTTCCTACCAAATTGCTGTGATATAAAGTATAAATATCGAATGTCAATCTAAGTACAGTCATTTAGAATATAATTTCCTTCCTTTTTTCCTTTAAAATCCATTATGTTTTTGAATCTCGTTATTATAAACAGCCAATTTTCCTAGATTTTAGTTGGTTGATTCATTTTTAAACAACTGCAATGTTTTAAAATGCAGTCTAATTGCCTACTCTCAAAAAGAGGCCAAAGCATATAAACTTTCTTGAAGTGTTTTTACGCTGCAAACACAGTTGTCATATTTGAAACATTACGTGTGTAAAATACTACAAGTTGTCATTATAAATTTAGAGAAGTGATCTTAGACAAGACAGCCTAAGACAGAAGAGTTCCAAATCTTGTTACCTATCAACAAATAACTTCCAATGAACTGGCGTTTGCAATTAATAGAATATGAGATCTAAATCAGTGGTGAAAAGTAAGAGTGAAGTGAGAAGGGAGGAGAAAGCGTCTGAGTCCCAAACAAACTGAGAACCAAGTATAGTTTATGCTCTGTACCTTAATTACAGAAATATCATGAGGAATAATGATACTGACTTGCTTCATGAGAGTAGTAAAATAAAATATTTTTTACGTATCAAGTAGGGTAGAACTCTAACTAGAAAAAATAGGGTTAGATTAGTTTTGATATAACTGACAAGCATTCATATTTTGTATGCAAAGTATTATAGAAAATGTATGCTAGAAAATACTAAAAACGTGCAAGCATTCATGCCCAGGTTTATACACCTATGCAGCTCTTCAATGTTGTCTGTAAACATGTTTCTTCATCTATAATATGGGGATACCAATATCATCTACCTCTTGAATCTGTTGGAATCACATGAGATAATGTATATGATTGCTTACAGCACAGTGTCTAGCACAGAAAGTAAATGACATACGATGGCTATTACTATTTTTTTTTTTTTTAGTCTCCCTCGAAGGAAAATAAGCTTAATCGTGTATGACCTTATTGTCTCTCTTCACATAAAATCTCCCCTCAATGAACACAGTCACAAGACGGTTCATTTATGGTCAGATTTCTAAAGGTATAGAACTCAAGATGACAGTGAAGAGGAGAGAGAAACTCAAAAGACTTGCTCCAGCTACCTGTGAAGAAGACAAATGAAAAGCATAATACGCCCAATGTCAAGGACAAGCCAGGAGCTATCTGGATACATTCCAAGAAGACTTCCTCGGAGAAACTTCTCTTCAAATCACCTGCAGAAATTTTCTTCCAGCACAGCCCCTACAGTAAACCTTCTATTATTAAGAGGTCATTTAATTTACAATAACATCCAGCCACATACCTGTATCCCATCTGTCTGACTGAGGTACAGCTGGATGTTGACATAGTCGGGTCTGTTCTCGTGCCAAAACTAAAAGGACATAAAAGTAAATAGACATTAAAATTCTTTCTGTATACTCAGACTTTCTTCTAGTCTAACATATGTGATTCTAAAATTTGGTAAGTTGTATCTTGTTTAACCACAGTGAACATCTACAAGTAAATATATATACACACATATATGTGTGTGTGTGTGTGGGTGGGTGGGTGTGTGTGTGTGTGTGTATACACATCTACCTAAATACATATATATGTGCCATATACATGCCAGGTTCTAATGTTAATAACCTGCAGTCTACTACTGGTAATTAGGTATGATGGTGGTAGTAAAAGGGAATTATGTTATCTTCACAGATACAAAATTTAGCATGCTAAATGCTACGCTAATTCTCCCCTGAATCACTCTCCACATATTTCTTATTTTATTCTCTAAGAGTCGCAATTTTTATCCAAGAATTCATTCATAAAGAAACATGATTTTCTTATTAAACAAAGTCAATAGTGATATATAATATAGATGCTAGGAATGCAGGCTATTTAAGCAATGGTTTCCTGTGTATTAAAATTTATGAGGCAGGAACTACACCTGCAAAAATAAAATAGTCTGAAAAAATCTTGAACATTTCTATATCTTGAAAAATAAACTGACTAAGAAAAATATCACCTAAAGGAAAATTAATTCAACAAAGGGGGTAAAAGAGTTTTTGTTGTCCTCATATGCTTCCTTTTCCCCAGAAGACAAAAATAAATCTACTAATGATTGGCCTTGCTCTACTGAATCCTGATTTCTGAAATCTACATTTAAAAAAATACTTTTCTTCTTAGGCCTGCTTTCACCACCGTGAAATAAGGGAAAGCTGAAAGATACGGAAACAGCATCAAAAGTAGAAGAAATACAACAGCCATGGCGTGCTCTTTGGAGAAGAAATATGAGTGATGTGTGAATCCTGAGGAAAGGCTTAGAAGAGACCAACACTTTTTCAATAGCCAAACTATTTCTTGCACATAGATAGACATATTGGGTTTGTTTCCTTGAGATGGTAAGGCTTTGCTGGACCTTATTGCAGCAAGAGGATGAATCTTGATTTAAAGAGTTGTTTTTATATAGTGTGAAAGTAATGATTTTTAAAAAACTGATATTGTGGGACTCAAAGTAGAAGTTTTAGGAATGTAAAATATGTCATTTTTCAAAGAGGGAGTGATTAAGCAGTTTCATTACCCCTCTGGCACCTCTTACAATGGTAAGGACACCTGGCAGGTAACAGACTCATTTCTATTGCCATGCCTACATGACTGGAGATTTCCAGGAAGTTACTCAACTTAATCTGTGCCTCAGTTTCTTCATCAAAACAATGATACTGTTGAAGACAGTATCTCACTGATGTCCCTCCCAGATCTAAAATTATACATTTTACGTCCCTCCCAGATCTAAAATTATACATTTTTCTGACAGGTGGCAATTCTGAATTATAAAATCCCAATAAAAACATATGTTATTTTAAAAATGATAAGGGATGATTCTTAGCACCCATAATATTCTTAAAATACAATCATTAATTATACCCCATCCAATAGCTGCCTCAAGTTCCATCCAAATGCTAAATTCATTTTAAGGCCCTTTCTGAATTAAATCAGGGTTTATGAATTTTAATTGGGAATAAACTGAGGAATTTCCAGGTGCCAATAAATGGATAGCATCTCACATAACAAATGGCTCATGTTGAATCTTGTCTTAAATGTCTACCAGGATGTTGCTCTGAGATCAGTCCAAGGACTCCTGTACCAGTAACTAGCACTTAATACCCACATCCCGCCCCCAAGAGAACTATTTAAATAATATTCTTAATGATTTCAATTTCTTCATTTTAACTTATCTCTCACTAAATACTAGTAATAATATCTACTAAAGAATTTTCTTCAGGTCAAGGAAGCAGTGAAAAAACAAATAAATGGATCAACACAGTCTTGCAAATAGATCAGAATTGTAGGATCATGCACAAGATTATGTTTTTCATTTTTATTTCTCCTGGCTATCATTCTTCCTTATTTTCTCACAAATAAAAAATAACAGGATGTCAATCCTCAAAGGAATTTTACAGATTACTAATAGGAATGATAGCAATCATTTATTAAATACTTTCAACATGATAGATACTTTAAATATGTTAAAGCTAAAGTTCACGTAGGCTTTAAGTGCTGTTATCCTCATTTACAAATTGAAAGTGTAAATAAGGTTTATAGAGGTTAAGTAATAAATCCAAGATCTTACAGTTAGTATGAGGTAGAACTACTGTTCCATTATAAGTGACAGACTCCAAATGCCTGATGTAGCCCTGGTTCCTCTTTTTGATTTTCCCAATGTGACCTGCAGAAGTGAAGTGACTTAAGCAAGTCATATAGTTAGTTACTGGCAGACTTGGTACCACATCACCTGATATCTGGTCTTGCACTCTTTTAATTCACTAGGTTGGACAATCAGACCAAGCAAGATCCACCTAAGATGATACTTTTGTAATCATTACAGATAGTCTGACACTAACATAGAGTGGCTAGGGCAGCTAGATGTTCTAGGCATTCTAGAATGCTGTGAAAGAATTCACAGTTGTAAGAAGATTGAAAGACTGTATATTTTCATTTGGTTTTCAAAAATACTATTACCTACCATCACCAAAACTATAGGTAAAGTAACTATGCTTTATTGCTATTGGTATTGGCCCTTGTCCTTCCCTCCCCCTCGTCCCTCCCTCCCTCCCTCTCTCTCTCTCACACACACATACACACACACAGAAATTGGTAATACAGTTGCAAACATGGAAAATAATAAAAGGTTTTTCTTTTTAGCATTATTCTCAGAGGCACAATTGAAGAACCAGTGTTCGTCCTGCTGATGCGAAAAATCAAAGCAAGTATGCAGAGGTGCATGTAGAAGATAATCATCACAACATTGTTTACAATAGTTTTAAGCTTTTATAGTATTTTCCCCATTGAATCCTTAGGTTAAAATATATCCATCAAAAAAACTTTAAAAAAAATGTATAAATCTTAAGATTCAACTACCTTGAAAGTACAGCCACTGACATTCTTTTCTTTATTCTTCTTCCGACTACTTGCTTTATAAAGCATTTATTATTCAAATGTACCTTTCCACATCTTGAATTAATTATAGCCTTTCACTTGAAAAAACATATAGGCTCTATAAGTCAGTTCAAGAAAGATTTTTAAAAGTTAGAAAAATAGGCAAGGGCAGAATTAGGAAATCTCAGAAGTAACACAAATGGTCAACAATCAATGAAGCAAGGTTCAATCTCATTAACATTCGGGGGAAGGTACGATGAGATCTCACTGTTTAAGAGATTTGTAGAAATTTAAAAGATTGGTAATATAATGTTTTGAAATAAATTTCTCTTACATTCTTTGGTGAAAATGTAAATTGTTTTAGTCTCTCCTGGGGCTATTTTGTGAGTATACATTAAAATTGTTAATTTATTCATAACCTCCAACTCAGGGAGTCCAGTTTCTGGCATCGACCTAGAAAAAATACTCGCAAATTCGAGAGTGGTGATAATGCTCTTCTAGAAAGGTTTTCTTCCCCTAGCCTCATATCTTTTTTTAAGTCAAATTTATGGGGTGACATTGGTTAATAAAATTACACAGGTTTTGAGTGTACAATTCTATAATACATCATCTGTATATAGCATTCTGTGTTTACCACTCAAAGTTAAATTTCTTTTCATCACCATATATTTGACATCCTTTACCCTTATCTACCTCTCCCCACCCTCGATAACCACTAAATTGTTGGCCATTTGTATGTTTTCTTGGAAGAAGTGTCTGTTTGGGTCCTCTGCCCATTTTTTAATTGAATTGTTTGTGATTTTTTGTTGAGTTGTATGAGTTCTTTGTATATTATAGATATTAGCCCCTTATCAGAGGCGTTGTTTGCAAATGTCTTCTCCCATTCAGCTCTTTGTCTTGTTGATGGTTTCTTTTGTTGGGCAGAAACTTTTGAATTTGATACAGTCCCATTGGTTTATTTTTGTTTTTACTTCCCTTGCCTTTGAAGTCAAATTCATAAAATCCTCTCTAAACCCAAGGTCCAGGAGTGTAGTATCTAGGTTTTCTTCTATGAATTGTTTCAGGTCTTATGTTTAGGTCTTTCATCCATTTTCAGTTAATTTTGGTGTGTGGTAACAGATAGCAATCTAGTTTCACTCTTTTGCAGGTAGCTTTCCAATTTTCCCAGCACCATTCATTGAAGAGGCTTTTCTTTCTCCATTGTACGCTTTTGGCTCCTTGTCAAAAAACATTGGCCCATATATACAGGGGTTTATTCCTGAACTCTCTATAATTTGAAGTCAGGCAGTATGATACCTTTGGCCTTGTTTTTTATTCTCAGGATTGCTTTGACTATTTGGGATCTTTTGTGATTCCATAAAAATCTGATGATTTTTTGTTCTATTTCTTTAAAAAATGATGTTGTCCTTTCAGTGGCTTCTCATCTCTACTTTTTTGCCCCTCCTGATTCAGCAAGTCCCTGGAGGGGCCCAGGAATTTGTACTTTTTTATCATGGTAAAATATATATAACATAAACTTACCATTTTAATCACTTTTAAGTGCACAGTTCAATGGCATTAAATACATTCATATTGGTGTGCAACCATTATCACCATCTTTCTCCAGAATTTTTCTTCTCAAATTGAAACTCTGTATCCATAAAACAATAGCCCTATTCCTCCTCCTTCGCAGCTCCTGGCAATCAGCATTCTGTGAAACTGACTACTGTAGGTACCTCATATAATTAGAATCAGATATTTATCCTTTGGTGTCTGGAATAATTCATTTAGCATAATGTTTTCAAGGTTCATCCATGTTGTAGCATGTCTCAGAATTTCATTCTTTTTAAGTCTGAATAGTATTCCATTATATGTATATGCGACATTTTCTTAATCCATTCATTTATCGATAGACATTTAGGTTGTTTCCACCTTTTGGCTATTGTGAATAATGCTGCTGTGAATATTGGTGTAAAAATATCTGTTCAAGTCATTGCTTTCAATTCCCAGAACCCATTTATTTTTCCATAAAATCTAAAGGCCTTACGTAATCTTCTTCCTTTAAAAAAGCATACATACCACCTCTCTGGTTGTTTTCCTTACTGTTTTCCCCCTTGTTTACTAAGCTTTGCCCACACAGCTCTCTCATCTTCCTCCAATCTTCCAAGCATACGACTGCATCAGAGCGCTTGCCTGTGAAGTTGGATCCCTTTGGCCTTAAAATTTTTCCCAAGACACCTGCCTAGTTTGCTCACTCACTTTACTCAGGTCTCTGCTCAAATACCATTTGTTTTGTGGACATTTCTGAATATGCAATATAAAGTAATATGGCCTCTGTTATTTATTCTTTGTTGCTTTACCTCACTTTCCTTTTCTTCTTTCTCCTAACTGGAATCAGACATCCTATTTCTTTATTGGTTTGTTGTCTATCTTCCCCACTTAGAATGTAAATCACATGAGATCAGACACTTGTTTTTTTTTTTTTGTTCTCCAATGTAGCTCCGTGTCTTGGAACAGTTTCTAATTCATAGTAGGTAATTAGTAAATATTTGATGAGTGATAAAATGACTGACTGACTGAAGGAATGCATATATGCACAAAAAGGCATGTCTGATATTTACTGTAGTACTTTTCGTAATAAAAAAGAAAATATCCATCATTAGAGAGTAGTTAAAAAACTAGATACATCCATAATATGAAATATTCTACAGCAGTAAAAAAATGAGGTAACTCTATATGCACTATTATTAAAAATGTTCATGACATAGAAATAAGTTTTAAAAAGCAATTTTAAGAATAATACAAATAGGATGCTAGAATTTATAGAACACTCATTAGTTATCTATTGTTAAATAAATTGAATGGGGAATGTAGTAGGGGAGAACTTTGCTTATCTAAATTATTTTAAAAATTTGCACCAAGGATGTATATGTGCATTACTTGCATAACTTGAAAAAAATAAAGATAGATATATTAATAGATATATAAAAGATTACATGTTGGATAGATGAAGAATTCCTGCTTTCACCTCTGCAAGAAATAAAACTTAGAATTTGGGATTTTTGACATTTGGCATAGTGTGCCAAAAGTCTGGTTATGGTCCATTTGGATTATTAAAGAAATAAGAGGTCTTAGAACAAAAGGTGGAAAGTACAGTAGTAATTGTCTGCTTATGTTTCCCTCTGTCTTCCTCTACCATCCCATATGCATACATTTGCATACATCATATACAGATATATGCACACACTACCAGCCATATGCATACATTTCTATGTTAAAATACTCTGTTAGAATATATAAGTAAGCATTTCTATGTTAAAACATATCATTCATATAGATATCTATTCATATAGATATCTATGTATGTAATCTATATAAATATAGATATAGATATCTATATAAGTAATCACAAATATCAATATCTGAAAAGGTATGTACCAATTAACAGATGTTACCTGTTTTTGTAAGTTTAGGAGATTTTTTTTCCTTCTTACTACTTGTCTGTATATTTTCCAGTTTATTCTATAGCAAGCATTTATTACTTCAGTAATTTGAAAGACAATAATTATATTTTTAAAGTAAAAAATTGCAAAAGTAAAAACAAACCTAATTTTACCTTGTTATGCAACACACAGAGTAAGTCTGCAAACCAACGGAAGGATTGGATATTTCTGCACACCCAAATAAAATACAGCCTTCTAAGTTTGTATGGTTTCCAGTCATCCCTTTAAAATTAAAATAACATGACAGTGATTAGGATGGCAAAAAAATAAGTTAAGAATCCATGTATCTTCGAAAATTTTGCCCTTCATTAGTAAGTAACCAATAGAAAAACCAGTCATTTACATTCCAAGTGTCTGATATAAAACTTACTAAAACACCCAAATAAATCTAAAATGCTGACTCAAAGACATGATATACTCATATTATACATGAATTTTAGTTCATACTTGTGAATATTATATGCATATCACCCACTTCCAGTTGAAGGTAATAAACTAAACTCCTCAATCAGAATAATACCGGCCCTGCATCTCAGAAAGTTCTTTATTTTCAGTGAATTCTATCACCTGGCGGGGCTCCAGTCATCATCAGTCTTGCCTGGCTTCCACGCAAAGTGAGCCAAAACCATTCCAGAAATTGGTTGTTTATCCCCTTCATAACATCATTAAAGAAGGAGATTTCACAACCACCTACTATGTAATGCATTCCAGTAACTCATGATTCCAAGCCTGGATTCCCATTTATAATTAGGAAGTAGGCTAGAGATTAAGAAAATACTCTTTCCTTAACTTTAGGTGTCCAAATAACTTGCAATATGTTTTCAGAAACACATGATTGCTGGCTTGAAATAACCTTCAAAAAATCCTAAATTCATATCAAGTATTTGAAATTGAAATATGATATCATTCAAACACATCACCTTTTGGGGGGGTACTACATTAAACAAATTTCATGCAAATTGTGTCTTGTCGAAAAGTGAATGGAATAGATTTGAGAATACTTTCATATTGTCATTTTGTTTGTGTTTTCACGACAATATTAATCAGTTAATTTTTGCTTAAAATCCTAGAACTAAAATAACTGCAAATGTATTTCATGATTAAGCAATCTAACATCTAAAATTTCTATCTTTTGGTCTGTTATAAATTTGCTGAGTAACAGACCAAAAAATGAAGGCCTCATTTTGTCATCTCCTCAAACTTTCCCTGACATACTTCTACAATAATACTAGCCCTTTATTTCTATATCCCATTAATCTCTCTTCTTTTCATTGTAGTTCTAATATTCTCTGAAATATTGTTATTTATTAGTTTCTCACTGGTTTATTTTTACCTGCTTCATTTGAATGTAAGGTTTTTAAGGGCAGGCACTCAGCTTTATTTGTTACTGTGCTTCCAGTAACTAGAAGATGGATTAGCACACAGGTGCTCAAAAATATTTGCTGACTGAATGGATAAGTGGTGTCACTTACCACTGATGAGGAAGTAGAGAAATGAAGGCTGGTGGAATGACTTTAATAGAGGATAAGGGCAGAGGAATGCATAATTGTGATACTGACATATTTTACAGGAGAGCATGCTGAAAGTCAAAGACCACATGATAAGAATCACTGAATTATTCCTCTCATCGACCAGTAAGTAAATGGAGTTCCTCCAACAAGTAGAAGGATTCAGTAAGGATTTACTTCATACTAAAAGAGAGATGTCTAAAATATTGGCAGTTCTCTATTTGGACTAATAAAATGGATCAAAATGACATACAGCAGAGTGTTGAGTATTGATGCAAATGGAGTTACTCCAATGCCTCCAGCCACGCAGAGGCTAACCTCATAGTTCAATGATTCCTCAAATGGACTTCCAAAGGGACCATCAATGTATAGCCTGTAGAGAAGGCAGACAATGGTGGGAAAGATAAAAATGAGTTAAATTAATTTTCTGTAACATATAGCAAACATACTGAAAACAATTTCTAGGCTTTGTGATGGTTTAGGTCTTACTTCATCAAATTTCACAGTGATAAGCCAAAAGGAACAAGAAATGTTCATGAACTGTTCATATTAGAATAGTACATCTGTTTCTTAGCATACCTTTTTAGAGGTTAACAGTCATTTAACATATAGAAAAATGTATATAGGACCATGACAGATAGCTAAGGACAAGTTAAAGCTCTGATCATATTATATTACTATATTTGACTAAATTAAAATACCAACTGCTTTACTGTCTATATTTAATAAATAATGTTCACGTTAATGGCAAAGTCAGTAGTAGAAATATTTACCAAAACATTTACTATGTGAACAGAAAAGTAATAGGAGAAAAGAAAAGAAACGAATACAGTTCCTCCTCTTGCCACAGTTAAGTTTTATCAGTATAGAAACAGCTGGAGAACAATCTCAAAGGAATTTCTAATTACTCTACTAGTGATTATATATTCAAATGTGTGTGTGCATGTCTGTGTGTGAAATCCTTAACTACAACAAAACTTGCTAATTGTTCACTCAATATTCATCCATTCTTTCTTATTTAAAAAAAAATTAAAAAACAAATAAACAACAACAACAAAAACATTCATTCCATTCAGGGAAGCAAAGTACCAGCCAAAACACTACATTTCCCAGACTCTCGCATCCATTTCGGCTGTGTGACTATGTTCTGGTTAAAGGAGTATAAATGTAAGTGCAACTGGAAAAAGTGGAAGGCTCCTTGCAGGAAGCTGTCTCAGTTGAAAGTTGCATCTCTTTATTCCTCCACCTTTCTTTCCTCCTTCCTGGTACCTAAAATGTTGACTTGATGGTCTAAATACTTATCTTTGATGACTATAGAATTACCATACCGTCTATGAACTACCTAGTTCCAGATATCTGTGTTAAAAATAAAAATAAAAAACATACAAGGTGCTACTGTTTTAAAACTCTTTTTATTGTAAAAAAAAAAACTTTGCTAAAAAATAGTAACATTTCTAAAAAGTACATTTGTGTTCTCAGCCTTATAATACACATGTCATTCATTGTTAGGAATGATTCCAACAGATCGCTTAAGATTAAGCATCTGTGGGCTTACCAGTTAAGTGTTTGCCAACTACATTTATGAATGGATAGTCTTTTGACCTGTAAGCTCTATGCATGTAGTCTGTATTATATACTACTAATCATTGCCAAAATCTGTTTTCCTTTCCTCCTAGGTACTCAATAGACTATGCTTCCTGGGCTTTTTGTGATTATATTGAGCCTTGTGTCCAATTCTGACCACTGGGCTATGAGTGGAAGCAACATTTGCTATTTCTGGAGTGAGGCAGGAAAAGTTTTTCCCTTCCACATGACAACAGTCAAACTTTAAATGCTTAAGGTAGTGTTCTAAACATAGCAGAAATTCAGAAAATAGTGATGAATCATACACTCACAATATGCTTGATTCTTATATCTATTTCACTCAAACTTTACAACTTATTTACTCAACAAACAAAAATACATATTTCAAAGTTAATAATACAGTATATTGGGTTCTTGATAGAAATCTCAAAATATCACTGGCTCAAAAACAACATATGAGAATTGATTCTACCAGTTTTTACCATGTAAGCAAATTTAGAACATAAACATTTAGCAACAAAATTGGGTAAAAATAAGTACTTCCAACTGTAAAAACTGGATTATTGTAAATCTGTACAACTATTTTAGAATCCACTAGACCTAGTGCCATCGTCTTAGTCATACACTCATTCATTCAACAAATGTTTTTCCGCTCCTGCAGTGTACCAGACACTGTTTCAAGTGTGTAGGATACAGAAGTGAGTGAGGTAGAAAAAGTCCCTGATCTCATGGTTCTTCTATTCTGGTAGGAAAAGAACTAGCCCTTAAGTAAAGATATAAAAAGATATATAATGCCACAGTGAAACATGCTTCTAAAAATAGGTAAAACATAATAATTATTGAGGCTAGGTGATTTGGCACGTAAAAGTTCATTATAGTGTTCTGTTTACCTTTGTATATGCTTGAAATTTTGCATAGGCAGTTTAAATGTGCATGTGCCATTCAATCAGAGACCTAAATGAAGTGAAGGAGTAAGATATAAAACCGTCTGAGAGAAGGATCTTTCCAGCAAAAGTAACAGAAAGTGTAAATAAACAAAGCATTCTTGGCTCAAGTATATATGCACACCAGCTAAACCCTTCTCAGGAAATTTCAGCTCAGCTTCTCTGTTCAATCTGCTGATAATTGTGTTTAAGAATTTTCTTTGTGAAGGACTAATGCTCTATTTGGACCATTCCATGCCGGTTTCTGTTGATTAACAAATATTTTAGCACCTATCTTATAAAAAGCACTCTTCAGGTGCTGGAGGTTATGGCTGTGAACAAGAGACAAAAATCCCTGTTCTTGTAGAAGGCTTCTCTTTGATGTGGTTATCTGATATCCTTCATTAGTGTATACTTATCAAGAATCTTCTAAATGCAAAGTTCTGGAGATAGAAAAGTATAACTCTTGTCCTCAGCAATTTTGGTGCTGCCCCACTACTTTATATGCATGCCTACTTCCAAAAAGGAAAAACAGACACAGGGCATTTTATTTGAGTAGCCAAGGATAAGAGAGAGGACTCATTAAGCAATTACCTTTCCTACTTGTCTGCTTTCAATCCCCTATCCCCACCACCACCTCCAAACACACACACATTCCTTACATCCCATATAACTCCTCTTGGGTGTTCCTGAATAACTTTGGCCAACAAGACAAGAACTCAGGGTTCTAGTGACTTACTAGGGTTGGGTCATCAGTAAGTTATTTGTCCTATCTAAATCTGGTTTCCTACATCTCTAAAAGGAGCAAACAGATGTGATAACACAGAAAACACCTGCTAAGGACTGTAGAGGGCCACAAGTAAATGCTTGTTTTGTTAATGGCATTGATGAGCACCTACAGTCCACTGTCAGGCCATCTGAGAAGTCCAGCATAATACAGGAAATGGACCAAGTTCAGGATGAGTTAAAAAAAAAATGTAGGTGAGAATGTGATTTGAAGAACCTTAGAGAATCAGCTGTTTTTCCACTGGAAATTCTTTTTGCACAAAGCGAAACAAAATTTTGATTTTTTGAGAGGAAGGATGAAAAATGAAATTACTGGTAATTGATTAGTTGGCAACACCTGGGCCTCTGAGGAAGGCAGAAAGAGGAACTACTTAAATCATTTTTTACATGTATAACCTGGTTAATGTGCAAAATCCATTGCCTTTAATTTATAAGCAGTGACTTTTTTCTCCCTTAGTACCTGGTTTTTAAAAGAATGCTACATTATTACTATCATTACATATGTGACAAGATTATAGAAACTAGAGGCAACTATTCAAAGTCTTGCAACAACATAGTAGAGGTGAGATCAACCTGACATATTTTTAAAGTTCATGATGACCAATGAAAAGTTCCTTTAAGAAAATTGTGAATATAAGAGAATTCTAAGAAAAGGAAGAATCATTTTCCCTAGCCCACGCAGAAATATATAAACATTTTTTAAATAAGTTTTTCTCTTTAAAGTAGAATTCATTAAATGTTAATGGTTTAACTGTTTTAATGAGTAACATTGATCAGCTGATACACCAGTTATTTAGATCTCCTTTTCTCAGTGAAGAAATCCATCAGTTATAAATTAACTTAACTATATTAAAAAATAAATGTACAACCAAAACTTTTTGAAATTGTATTTTCCAGTACTTCTTATCATATCTCCCAAAACACATTGATAACATAATTAATTAAAAAGAACTTATTTTGAGAATCTGAGGAAAGAACTAGTTAGAATTCATAAAATTATTTTAAGAAAAAATCTCTATTAATTAAAAAATAGATATTAATTGTACTAGTATTTCCCAAAAGGGATTTCAAGGGACAATAAAATATGGGGGAAAAAAGTGTCTCATAGTCAAATAAATTTAGGAAATGTATTAAGAAAAATTTTATTTTATTCATGTGATTTTTAAAAAATATCTTTAATTCAAAAGTTCTCCAGGCTTTTAACATGCCAAAGTGCCTCAATAATTCCCAAGTAGGCAATACATGATACTCTGTAAAAACATATTTCACCACAAACTCCTTCTCTCCACAAAATGTCTGTTAAGATTTTAGAGAATAGAGAACAATTTAGGAAATGGAGACCTAGAATCAAGAAAAAGAAAAGGTACTTTTCTTTAACAGGTTAATTCCCTTGTGTGGTTTAACAAAAGATAACCTTAGCTACAATAGACATTGCAAAAATTGTTTTAAAGATTAAATAAGCAGGAGGGAGAATTAATGTGCTTTTATTTAATTCAACATATAATAATGGAAGTTTTACTATGAGTAAGGCCCACTACCAACTGCTGCAGACAAAAAAAAGAAAGAAAAAAAGAAAGAAAGAAAGAGAGAGAAAGAAAAAGAGAAAGAAAGAAAGAAACAAACAAACAAACAAACAAACCAGAGGTGAGTAATTGCAATGTCTTTACTCAAGGAGGTTAGAAAAAGGAAACTGGCTAGAACAAACATACACAAGTATAAAAAAATAAGGCACAATTTGAGAACTTAAGTGTGTTATAGATCCATATGACATATACACAATACTTTGTACTTTTCACATATCTGTCATAATCTTAACACTTTATGAGATAGGTGCAATATTATCATCCTCATTTAACAAATGAGAAACCTGAGGCCACAAGAGATGCCATGACCAGTCTGAAGTTTCCCACCTCCTGGATGGGATACTGGATTGGAGGAGGAAAGAGGGTGTGAGGAAGAATAAAAGGTGAGGAGAGAGAGACCAGAGTCCAGTCCTTAAAGAAAATCTGTTAGGTTATGCATCTCAGTCACAGATCCAAATACATATTTCTGTCTGAAAATAAGATGTGCTTTCGTGACA